ATATATATATATATATATATATATGGGTTGATGCCAACCTATGGCCCTAGAAAAAACTTAGATGGACAGTAGTTGTTGGAGTTGTTGACTACTTTAATATTCGGGTCTTTTATTGAGTTTAAACTTAGGAATTGGAATCGAATTAGGTTTAATCTCTTAAACCTAATAGTTAAACACAATTTTCTTTTGTAATGAGTGATAGTAAATGTCATTTTAAAACAAGAGAGGTGAGACTAGGGACGGATTTAGCCCTAGGCCTACCCTCAGATTAAAAAAAAATATATTAATGTACAGGCCACCAAAAATTGTTAATTAATATATATACCTAGGTTCACCCTCAGATTTAAAAAAAAAAATGAGAAGTATTATATATATATATATATATATCTAGGTCCACAAAAAACTTGTTATTAATATATATATTTTAAACCCACATCATATTAAAAGTTTAAAATTCTCTTCACTTTTTTTCTCCATGGCTCCACCTGATTTTTATGATTTTATCCCCAAAATTCTTTACTCTCTCATTCTCTTTCTTTTTCTCATGTTGTTCGCTCTTAAAACTTTTGAAAACTGATATTATTAAATTTTCACTACTCAAGTTTTCATAATTAGCTATGTTTTTTAGTTTTATTAATTTTAGATATGTGTATTTTTCACCTTTCACCCACCACTTTCCTATATTTCAAACGACATCGTTCAGCTGCTCAAAATTATTAAAGAAATTTGAGTTACTATCTATGTTTATACCAAGAAAATTCCCTATTTTTTTATTAATTCATATTAAAAGTCAACGCAACGTTGATTTGATTGAAGTTTTGGTTGACTTTAGCTTAATTAGGTTATGTATGGTCAAAGTCATAAAAATTTATATTATAATCTTTGAAAGCAAAAAATAAAAATATTAAAAGAATGTTTTGTTCAAGGTTTACTTTAACACATTTACTCAAAATTTTGTTTCTCATAGATTTATTCAAGTAGAAAAATATTGTGTTATTGCATATTCTTTTCTCTTAAGTTCTTAATATTGTATTATTTTTTTTTTATTAAGGTTTGATGATTTTTTAAAGTTTTCTCTAGTTGTTTGTCAAATAATGGCGAAGCCATAGAGGTCCCCTCTCAGCAAAAATCCTAGATCCGCTACTAAGTGAGACAGTATTAAAATAATATTGACTATGTTAGACGTAGTCTATATTGGGTGAACCAGAGCAAATCGCGCGTATTACTAGTAGGAAAATATTGTGTTATTGCATATTCTTTTCTCTTAAGTTCTTAATATTATATTATTATTTTTTTTATTAAGGTTTGATGATTTTTTAAAGTTTTCTCTAGTTGTTTGGCAAATAATGGCGAAGCCATAGAGGCTCCCTCTCAGCAAAAATCCTGGATCCGCTACTAAGTGAGACAGTATTAAAATAATATTGACTATGTTAGACGTAGTCTATATTGAGTGAACCAGAGCAAATCGCGCGTATTACTTTTTTTCTTTACTGTTTATTTTGTTTTTGTATTACTCCCTATTTCGTTCAATAGTGTTATTGTGTGTTTATCTTGTTCAATAAAGTTTTAATTTGTATGATAAGTTTCAAAAAATAAATATACAAATGATGTGATATATTACATCGTGCTAATACGTGGGATGATAAAAAAAAAAGAATTGATGTAGCATGATATTTGTACAAGCATATAAATGTGTTTGCTCAAAACCATTCATGCCTTCCTATGGAAGGCTACTTTTGGCTCGTATGAAACCCGAAGGAAAGCCCGAAAAAACATCAACTAAATAGAAGTAAATCTCTCCACTGCTCCTCGAATGAAGGCATCCTTCCTCCCNATGTAATATTATAATTAATTAAAATTTTAATCATTTAATTAAGTATTGTATTAATATTTATAATGGAATGTTAGGATTAATTAAGTAATTATACTATAAATCTATAATGTAATGTTATAATTAATTAAATTTCTAATTATTTAATTAAGTAATGTACTAAATTACTAATGTAATGTTATAAATTTATAATTAATTAAGTAATTATTTAACTATAATATAATATTATAATTGATTAAGTAATCATTTAACTAGTAATGTAATAATATTTATCAATTTATTTTATATAATTAATTAATTACTAATTTACTACATATATACTTTGAACTTGATAATTAAAGTAAATAACTAAATATTATATTATTATTCAATCAAATATATTATTTTATTTAAAAATAATTATTTTAATAACATTAAAATACTTTTAATTGGTTATAATTCCACTTATACAGTTAATTAATCAAAACTTTAATATTAATATATTATAACAAATTAAAATTTTTTATATGGTGTAGTTTATATGTAATAAGTATAATTGTATATTTATTTAATTAGGTTATTGTAAAAATTTAACTTTTTTAATTTTAATTTTTTTATATGTAAAATCACAACAAACTCCCATTCTTCACAGATATTTCATTTCAGCCCAAGTTCCAAAACAGGGTACTCGTTGCAAGTTCTAAGTTAGGTACCCGCTGCAAGTTTTTTTTTTCAGGTTTCGATTCCAGTTTTGTTTCTTACACAGAATTGGACAGTGTCAGTTCCAAAAAAATGAAATTGGAACCTATCTATATAGTGTCAATTAAAAAAAAAATAGAATCAAAACCTACTCATACAGTATTAATTTTGGATAGATTCTAGTTCCGATTCTATCCATAAATTTTGATTCTACCCAATATCCTTACTCGCCCCTGATAAGGGCAAATCTATGCTTGCCTGAGTTTAAAACCAACCAAATTTTCCTGGTTAAACTCTATATGACAAGTTCATGGTGAAAGAATGGTACCACTGCTGGCACTGCCCTTGCCAACAGTTATCAGTGTGGCATCACATCAACATAATGGCCATTAATGAAAAAATTGACTACAAAACAAAATTCAAATAACTATTATATACCTACAAGATTGTAATAACAAAAAAGTTGATCAATTGAAATCTTGAAGGCCTAACTTGTAAAGAATCTAAAAAGCCATCAACAATAGCAGAGAAACGGAAGAAAAATTTTCTAAATAGTAATGCATGACAGTCCATAGCTAATGAAAATCCATCTAGATCTATCAATGTGACCCTCTTCCTCATGTGGGCATCAAAATTAATGAAGAAACTATGTATGGACCCATCAACATTGGCCATATCAGTAGATTAGATAACAGAATTTTCTCCAGTGTCACTTAGCCAACCAGCTGTCTCACACAAACAATTAATTTGAAGCAAGTAATTTGTTGGGCAGATTTTAGTTTTTCTTCCTCACCATTAAAGGCAAAGGACCTACATATCCTGCGCTGGTGTTTGAGAGTTGGGGCTCAATGCCTGCAGAAGAAAGGGCCCAGAAAGCTTGTTGATGGTGCAACTGCAACCACTTCTTGTTGTGTATTTTCAGTCTTATAAAGTTAAAAGAGTTATGACATGATTTTCAGTTTTGCTAAAAACTTGGTTTGGTGCCCATGTGGTTAAGCTTTGATTTGAAAGAAACTTGTTAATGAATGAAATCTTGAGATGATGGCTTTAATGCCAATGATACCAACTTAGAAAATGACATTTAAAATTAGGGTTATGTCACAGTATGGAGGATAATGTTATTATTTCTTATTATTTTCTGGGTTATAATATGAGGATTCATTCTGTCATGATTCAAGGGTTGGAAATATGAATAATGTTACTGTGAATAGCTTGACAATTATATAAATAACTGAGTAAAAAGAGATGGATAACAATTGGCAAGATTTATGTTACATTATCTGAGCGTAATTTTTTTTTTGTCACCGGGAGTATTCAGGTTAGTTTGTGCGCACCTCAACTAATTCTCTCAGGCTATGAAGTGAACGACCATGTTGGAAAGATGGATAATGTTACTGTGAATAGCTTGACAATGATATAAATAACTGAGTAAAAAGAGATAGATAACAATTGGCAAGATTTATGTTACATTATCGGAGCGTAATTTTTTTTTTTTTTTTTCATCGTGAGTGTTCAGGTTAGTTTGTGCATTCCTCAATTAATCTCCTGGGGCTCTAAAGTGAATGACTTTATAAATTCCCTTAGTAGCCACCCCTATTAGTGTTTAGGCCTTTAGGGGAGCTCGAACTCAAGAACGCATGTTAGATCCATTTGCTCTTTTACCATCAGGTCGTCCAATAGTGGTTTCTAGCATGGTTATTAGTATCCTATGATACGCGATACGTATGCTACGATACGATTTGATACGGGTTGTCAACGATACGTATCAGAGAGTGTATCCTAAGCTTTTCGATACGTTGATATGTATCCTACGATACAATTCGTATATTTAAAAATATCGATACAAATTGATACGACTTTATTAATTTGGGCTGAAAGGCCCCCCCAAAAAATTAGAGTCGAGTTAAAATAGATCAAGTCGGATCCGAAGCGATTTCACTAAAACCTACCCAAATTCACCTATTTTGCATGGAGAAAGTGAAGAGGAAGATATGTTGCCATTTTGCATGATAATAGTAACACAAGTAGAGATATTGATATTGACATTGATCTTGGAAATGATATGAATAGTTAAAAGTAAATGATATAGATTCTTCATTTTGCGATTAATTTTGATTATGTAATACCATAATTGAAAGCCAATAATATCACAAAATTCGTTAATTAATCTTGGGGATGATATTAATTTTTAATTTTTTTAATTTTTTTTTAAAAAGTCGTATCTTACTATATGCGATACACCATTCAAAAATTAGGTTTTCGATACACGATACGATACGCGATTTGACAACTATGGTTTCTAGAGCGAAATGTTACAATTTCTTATTACATTCTAGATTATAGTCCGAGGATTCATTAGACCATGATCCAAGCGTTGGAAAGATGAGTAATAGCTTGGCAAGCATATAATAACTGAGTAAAACGAGATAGATAATAATCGGCAAGATTTCCTTTTACATTTAAATTAAGAAAAACTCAGATGCAAACATGATCATATTTAGCAGTAGCTTATTCCAGTGCTACCTTACAAAAGCACTTCTTAAAAGCACAGTTTATGTATTGGCAACAAAAGGGCAATAAAAGCACTTCTGTTTCTTTCTAGCAGTTATCGAGGCCTCAGGGCTTTTCATTAATCCAAAGCCTGCCATGAACTGCTGCAGAATCTCAGAATCATATTAAAACAAGAAAGGGCCATATCTGAATTGGTCCTGACCCCATATATTTACTCATATACTCTCTTTCTATATAGAACTAGTTAATCACTTAATTAAACACACTAAAAGGGTTGCTTAATTTAGCTTTAGCTGAGAGGGATATGATGTCTAGTACCGATACTGCCATCCAGTATATGTCTGGCCAAAGGACCAGCCAGCAGGGGCAACATTGTAAGACACCAGACTGCGACCATCACTTGTAGTTACAACAAAGGAGAGGCTTTGTCCATTAAGGTAGGAATTACTCTGCCAATTTTGGCCCCAGTTTCTTGACATTGGTTGCCATCTAGTCTTTGAACCTTTTATTGACACTGCATGCACATCACCAGCTCCTCCAACATTTGTTATAAGAACCAAATTGAAATATGAATGACCGTTTATTGTAAACCTAATCCCTCCACTTCTCTTGCATCTCACCCTGCAAAAAAAATCAAATCCAATCCCCAGATTTAGCCTTAATTCGCAGCAATAATGTTTCCAATTCATGTGGCAGTTGATCTACTACACAGGTTGGAATGCCGACTTTGTATGTGTAGCATTAATCTTACTGGCAGAAAGTGATTCTATTACCTTCTGTAAAGTACAGGAACAACTCCGGCTCGATATTGAGCAATGTGTTGGAAGATGGGCTGAGAGAGATCAAAGTGATGGTTTGGAGGGTCACACCAGCCACCAGGAGGGCAGAAGTTAGTGGCAGTGACAGTAATGGAGCCAGGAAGGCACCATTGAGGGTCATTAACACACATGAGCTGATAGCAGGCTCCACAGCTTAAACCATTGTTGAACAATGCGGTGCTGAGGGCTGCAGTGTTTGTTCCATAGCCTTGACTGTACAAATTCCCATATCCACAAGCCCCACCTACAAAAAACACCAAAAATATAGTCACTAAGAGTGTTATTATTATTACTATTCACTATATTTGTGAAGTAAAATTACAATTCTGTTAACTTCACATACCCATTGTTCCAGAAGCATCACCTCCTCCATAGAAAGTGGCATGAGCATTGATCCAACCACCATAAGAAGCCTGAACAGAAGAGACCAATGAGAGAAACCCCACCAAAAGAGTCCCCAAAAGAGCCATTTTTTTTCCTTCCTGCACAAAGCATTTGAGCACACACTTCAGCATTGTGTATAGCAGTAGTACTGTAAGTAATGATGACCACAAAGCATATAGTTTTTATTCTTTTGAAAGTAGTTTTATGAAAGAAAGAGAAAAAAGTGTTGCAAGAAAATAAACCTTGAAAGTAGTTTGTTTGAGGAAATGTAGAAGAAGAAGGGCAAGGTTTGAGGGGAATAAATAGAGAGCAGTCAACATCAAACCGGACAATCTTTGAACTGTTGGGAACATGCAACTGTTAAGTGGTTTTTGGGACTGTATTTTTTCCAGAAAATATGTAGTTTTAAGAGGTTTTACAAGCGGTTTTGTTCCACAAACCGCGTGGTTTTGAAGTTGTCCAGTAGGAAAATGCCAGGAAAACAAGTCTATTCAGACTGTAACAACATGGTTTGTTATTATTCAAAGTTTTACCAAAGTCATTTTTATGATTCTATCTAGTAAAATTTCTGAAAGTTTTATAAAATGAAGATATTTTGATTAATCAAAAGATGAGTGAAAGGTATTCCCATGTTAAATTGTTGAGTTTGAAAATGACTTTGCAGTGTAGTGATTTTCCATTAAATGAAGTGGACTTGAATCACTTGATGGTGGGATAGCACCACATGTTTAATGTTCTTGTGTTCTGTGAGTTGCTTGATCAAGATTGTGCGATGAAGCTGTCTCATTTATTATGCCAAGGATGGTGAGTGGATGCTTGCAATGTGGCTTCTCTTTTAAGGATACGTTAATTAATTCCGGATCTTCGAACAAAGAAGTTTTAGGTGAAACAAATATATCAACCGCTTCAAACGATTCACGATTCATCTCTGAATTGAGCATCACAAGTTAGTTTTTATGAAAATCTTTAAAGATTGTGTTATGATTCAGGGTATACATACAAATTAAGACTAAACCCATGAAAGGAAACAAAAAGTTGATAAAGGGCAGTCAGAATCTTAACCTTGAAGTTCTGATGTGAGATTGGAAAAAGGAGAGGCTATGATTGGTATCTCAAAAACATGACCATCTTTTTTATTTTACCAAAAGATTTCTTGAGTACAAAGTTGATTTCGACTTCTCTCTTGTCACTGTTTGTTAGGATTCACCATGAGTACAAGTACAAATGAAAGTTATCTTTCCTTCAACATAACATGAATTAAAGCAGCTTTTCGCATGGAAACAAGCCTTTTTTTTATTTGTCATGGTAAGAAGTCTTCACTTCTGTGGGTCATGTTTGATAAGTTTTCATTGAAATTTGTACTATATAATTATGGATCTTACTCTGAAGTGAATAACTCAAAACGTTAATATAACTTTCTTTCTTTTTTCTTTGATGATCAGGGTATTCGAGCCAGTTTGCATGCATCTTGACTATTCTTTCGAGACTTTAGAACTATCAGTTATGTACAAGCTCCAATAATCATCTTTATTAACAGTCATAGGGACTCGAACTTGGAAGATCATGGAAACTTAAATGCTCTCATGACTAAGATCTCTTTTAAGATTTATTGTTTCCAATAGGACCGGCCATGGTCCCAAGACTTTTTGTGCAAACGGTGGATCAGATTTGAAAGGAAAAAGTGTTCTAGATTTGAGTATCAACCAAGAGAAAAATGGACCTGTAATCAGAAGTCTGGAATGCATAATTGCTGAGACTCCATAATCCATGGAAAGTTTGCCTTGTACAGAGAGAAAAAGAAAATCTTTTGTAGTAGATTATGTGGGCCTTAACTTGCTTTCTCTGAAAATTGACTGCTAAATTGACAGATTTCACTGATTTAAAACCTCTCCAAGATTTAAACCTTGTAAATATTCAAGTACTTCAACTAAAACTAAATAGAAAAAGTAACAAGGGAAGAACTTTCTGTAAAAAGTCTCCAATCAATCACAGTCATGCAAAGGATTGGACCTAAAGAATGGAATCTAAGTTTTATTCTTTACAAGAAGTTAATCTAGGAGACTTTTATTAACCAGAGAAAGGAAAGTACTAGTTATCAGGTAAAATATGAATTTCTGATATCAGAATATCAATGGGTGCGTCTGTTTTAGACTTTAGTATTTTGGATAATATTTTTGATATTTTTAGAGTTGGATGGGAATAACGAGAGAGAATTTAAAAATTAACAAGAACACTCTCTAGGCTTGTTAAATAACTAAACATCCTTGTAATTAAATTATTAAAAATTATAAAAGCACCCCCACCCACCCATCTATTAAATTCTGATAGTCGACCACCACCGCCAGAGGGTAGCCGAAGTCGTCGTATTGGTGCACAACCAACCAGATCCAGCCGGTCGTGTGCCAAGATGGCATTTTCCAACCAGATCCACGGTGGATCTGGTAAAAAAAGGCTAGATCTGGCCATGTTTGGTCGTCAATGACAGCCAGCTACGGCCAACGATCTGGTTGTCAACGACCAGATATTTAACCGTGGATCTGGCCAAAAAATGATAGATCGGTGCACTACTGATCATATTCGGTCAGTAGTTTGCCATTATACCAGATTTCGGCTACCTTCCAACGGTGGTGGTTGGAATCTGGCAAATGTGGGTTGGTAGGGGTGTTTTTATCAATTTTTAAACTATTTTTTTGGGAGTGTTTAGTTAAATTAATAAACTTAAGGGGTTTAAAAGTAATTGAAGAAAATATGATAGTACTTTCATAATAGAGAAACAAACTTGTATTTTGGAAATAGTATGAATAGGATAGTTAAAAATATTTAAACAAACAGGCCAAGAGTACTATTTGTTCTTGTTTTGGGAAATATATGCGTTCAACTTGTTCATATAGTTACTATGAATCATGGGGGGGCCTGGTTGCCGTCCAGGGCTTTCTGAAACTAAGCTTTCAGGATACAGGCAGTCAACTAACTTACGTTTGAAGAAATATTCAGAAGGGGCCTGACAGGAAATATAATGGAAAATTTTGCTTTCTGGTAGACATACATGTGTTGATGCATGAACTTGGATTCTTGAAGCATGTGATGCAAATGATCTCTGCTTATCCAAATTGGAACACTGGCTATACACAAATTCTTTTTATCTTCAATAAACCTCGATAAGACGAGAAAATTTATTAACAAGAAAAAAAAAAGGTACTTAGTTAGGAACGTAACGAGCCTTATCCCTTAAGAAAAAACCAAACCCCTAATAGCGTCACCGCGTTTCAACTGGGGAACTGATTGTAAACTTTCGTGGTAATTATAATGCAGCCATTTGGTTATCAACATAATAAAAACTTCAAGAAGGGGATAAAAAAATGGAATTACATGTAATGTTGCACATGAAGCTTCAGGGAGGAGGAAACTTCCTCCTTCAAATGGTCGTAGTCCTGATGATTTAGAGGGGAAACCATATGAACATATATAATTAGAATATACCTTTATGCCATGGCCACAAGTAGAGTTGAATACTATCTGGATTTTAGCTTATAATTGTTGAACACCATCAGAGCTAGGCCTGATATGTGCAGTGACAAATTTTAGGTTGAGTTTTTAAAGTAGCTTTTGAAATCCAAATAATGGATGGACCACAAAATCCCCCATACAATTTGTCCTGTAATGATCACATGCAAGTACTGTTTGATTAAGAGGTTTCAGAAACTGTGCTGATAGATTATCATCAATTTCGCAGCATGTTTGCTTAGACTTTTGATGCAAAATTCAGCAATGAACAAATGAGTATTAGTATAA